GAACTTGCCTTCCACAGCAATTATTTTTAGTTAGCATATAGCTAAAATCTAACGATGGCTATATAATAGCAGCTGCATTCTGGTGTGATAAGCTGTATGTTTTATATTCAATTAACATATGATCCAATTAGTCGACTAATCGAAAAAATAATCGGTGATTAATCGATTTTAAAAATAATCGTTTGTGGCAGCCCTAACTGCAAATGATTGGAACTTTTATCAAAATACACTGCATTTTGACACTTTGATTTCTATACCTGTTCTTTAATCACAGACTAAAAGACCTTATAAAGGAGTCATGTAATTGTTTTAAAGAATGAATGCTTTGCTCACTGCATTTGTATGTTTTATGTACTGAATTTGTTGTTGCATATTCCCCATCTTACCCTTTTTAAGAGTTTTAGCACTTTCAGGCTAACATTGCAAATATGAAATTGTTCTTAATGTTCTGCATGGTGAAATAAAGGTTTAAATAAATAAATAAATAAATGTTTTGGTGCGGAAAACTCAGATTTTGAAATACGTTTTTTTAAATACTTGGGAAAGGATGTGTTAAGGAAACAGTGACATCGCAGCCTATTTTGCCCACTATTACTTCACATCCCGAAAACCGGAAGAATGATGGAAGCAGGGCTGGGTGATGAGTGATGACTTAAAAATGTGTTTCATATCAGTCAATATCAATAATTATTAATTAGTTTTTGTTTTATTTTTCTGAAATAAGTACCAAGAGAAAAAATGCTTATTATTACAAACTGGTGATGTGATTGTGACATTTCCTCTTTTAACTACTTTTTTTTTTTTTTTTGAGCTGTTGCACTCAATTCTCTTTTCACATCATTCTTCTAAAAATAAAAATCTCCTGGAAGTCTCTTTTGGACGTATACATATTGCAACACTAACAATTAGATCAAATATGAGTAAAATTGTCAAAAATATTTTCATAAGCCAGCATAAGTTGTCTAAAATGTTAAAGTGTGATGGGGCCATTAGCTGGGCCATGAGAGGTTGAGCAGCAAAAGCCTTTCCTCTCCCAACATCCCTCAGAATGTCATGTCGTTCTGGACCAGAGTTCAGTGAAATTATCAACATTCTAATATTTGTGAAATTGTCCACCGATATTGATCACATGTCTATCATGATACACATCATTGAATTATTCACCTAGATTATTGCTCTTGCTTTATTTATAAAAACAGAAAAATGTAAGTGATGTCAACAAAAAATAAAAATGTTTCAGAAGAGTGTTCAGGCAAGCTTAGATATTTCCTGTATTATTTAGAAATCATCACTGTGGACGTTCTTGTGTTCTAGTAGAGTGCCGTGGGTATTCCAGCATTGCTATTTTATTATTTTTAGAAACTGACAGAAAATTAGGATGGTGTACAAGTGCTAAAAATAACTGGATAAATGCAAATTTAGCTTTTATAAAAATAATTAAGTCTACACATCATTTAAATGCACTTTATTTTCAGAAATCTTCACTTTGTGGAACCTGGTTGAATTCAGATACAAGTGTCAAATGTAGAATGCATTTTGCGGAAGGAAGAACTCAGAAAGCTGCAACAGGTGCAAATCTTTGACTGTATGTTACAGTGCAAATGTGTGAACACAGCCCTGACTCAGTGATTCAAACTCTGGAGATGAGTTCAGGGATTTTATTCCCTGAACTTTATTTTCCTCAAGCAGGCAAGCTTCAGTCTCTCATCACCTAATATTATGAGACTGGATGTGTGATTGATTATATATATATAT